AGTCCAGCTCTTTTTTTTTTAATTTTTTTTTATTTATTTACGATAGTCATACAGAGAGAGAGAGAGGGACAGAGACATAGGCAGAGGGAGAAGCAGGCTCCATGCACTGGGAGCCTGACGTGGGATTCGATCCCGGGTCTCCAGGATCGCGCCCTGGGCCAAAGGCAGGCGCCAAACCGCTGCGCCACCCAGGGATCCCTTTTATGCCTATTTTAGAGACAAAGTGCAGAAAGGATGCTAGAGAAGCTGCATGTGCTTGGGCTATAGCCCAGGAAAGCAGGAGGCACTACAGATAAGTGAGAACTTGAGTCAGGAGAGGAGACCAGCTCAGGACTCAGGCAGGTGAATGGGAAGGGGAGATGGGTTATCATCCACACGTGGGTGCTCACCACAGAACAAGATAAACTGAGCAAAACTACCACACTCAGAGTCAGGGCCAGAACCAGTGGTTCAGAACAGACATGGAGTAGATCTGGACCTGAGTTCAAATCCTAACTCTGCCAGAGACCCATACAAATCACTTTCTCTGTTTGTTTGTTTCTTTCTCTTTTTTTAGATTCTATTTATTTATTCATGAGAGATACACAGAGAGGCAGAGACAGAGAGAGAAGCAGGCTCCCTATGGGGAGCCCACTGTGGGACTCGATCCTGGGACTCTGGGATCACGTCCTGAGCCGAAGGCAGACGCTCAACCACCGAGCCACCCAGGCGTCCCTGTTTGTTTCCTTCTTTGTAGGAAGAAAGGTGACAACATTTACCATACACAGATTCTTGTGAGGTTTAAATGAAATAGCGTAAATATAATGCTTATATCTGGCACATCCTAATGGGCCAGCACTTTGGTAGGAAAAAAGCACTAGGGGATGGAACAGATGAACTACAATCTATAGGGTTCAGTGACTGGATGTGTGGTGAGATCGGAGAGTACCAGAGTGGCTCCCAGGTTTCTGGCTTCAGTGACAAGGGAAAAAGCAGTGCCACTGATTTTAACAGAGAATGAGAGGCAGTGGTGAGGAGGATTGAGCTGACACTGATGAGCTTGGCAGTATGGGTTTGAGCATTGCTGGCATATAGGTGGTGTTTAACCCTAAAAGGTAGAAGCAGGGGGTGCCTGGGTGGCTTGGTCCCTTGGGCATCTGACTCTTGATTTTGGCTTGGGTCATGACCTAGGGTCATAGTTATAGGATCAGTCCCAGGTCCGGTTTCATACTGAGCATACTGCTTGCTTGGTATTCTCTCTCACCCTCTCCCTCTGCCCACCACACCCCACTTCACCGCCCTGCCACTACTCACCATCTCTCTCAAAAAACAAAAACAAAAGGTAAAAGTGGTGCCCCACGGAGATGCTACAGAGACCTTAACCTAGGGTCTGTGGACCCCAGCATCTGTGAACAAGATTTAGGGAGAATGAACATTGTGAAACTATATTCAAAATGCGGTTTATGTGCATTTTCCTGATTGAAGCTCTCATTAAATTTTCAAAGGAGTCTACGAGCCTCTCAACCCCACCTCCAGGTCACAAGCCACCAGTGCAGAGTGAGGCCCCCTAGGGGGAACATGGACATTCAGGGCTCAGGCAGAGATAAAAAAGAAACTATCATGGAGAGAGCACGAAACCCATGACATCGAGAAAGAGACTGAAAGAGGCAACTCTAAAGTCAGATGAGGCTGGAGTCGACTAGATCAGCACTGAGTCCGTCAGGGGAGGTCACTACAGCAGCTTCAGCTTCGGGAGTGAAGGGGAGGGAGGGGCTGCCACTGCAGGTGGCACAAACCAGTGGTTTATGGCCACTTCATGAAAAATGGAAGGCCCTCTAGCAGGGGCCTTGTTCACCGGGTAGCAATGGGCCTGCTGCAAAGGTAGTCTCCCAGATGCAAGTCCATTTCCAGGTCCCATACAGCCCCTCTCACACCGCCCACGGCAAGCAGATGGCAGCCTACCGCTTAGGTTTCCGGCGCTTGAAGGCCCAATGAAACCAGTGCCAGGCAGCCCACTGCTGAGGAAAGGCCTCTACCATTTGTTTTACCAGAAAGAGCTCACAGCACCAAGGCAGGGCCCTGACACAAGCACACGTGTTAGATGCGCATGAGGCACCTGCAGACAAGGGTAACGTCTTAGCTCCAGGCAAGCTGGCCATGGAGCCAGTTTGTGACCTCACTACTCGGCAAAGTCTGGCTCAGGGTCCAGCAGCCGTTGTCCTGGGCAAGCTAGTGAGTCCCAGTCTCACTCCCCTCCCTCTGTAACGCGTGAGCAGTAAGTCAGCTTCAGGCTGGGCTGTCATCATTTAATGAGATCATATATTTAAGCACGGAGCTCAGGTCTGATACACCATCAGCTCGACGGTGCTACTTCTCTCGTCTAGAGCTGCGCTGTCCAAACGTGAGCTACATCTGTAATTATACCTTTTCTAGTAGCCCCATTACAATAGCAAAAGAAATAGATGAAATTAATTTTAATAAATTTTACATTATCCAAAAGATTATCAGGTCAATATAGAATTAATATAAGACTATTAATGTGGTATTTTACATTATTCTTCCTATCAAGTCTCTGAAATCTGGTAGTTTACACTTGTCACATGCCTCAATCCAGACTATTCTCATTTCACGTCCTCAACAGCCACAAATGGGGCCTCCGGCTCTATGTCCTCCACAGGCCGAGGAGGCCATGATCCTCTACCTCTCTAAGAATCACATTTTCCCATTACATTTTGAAATTATTTTCTCATCTATTACTAAGTAAAAATCCATATTTTTAATTGCATTTCAGCCCTTTCTACTTTAGCCATAGACTGCTAAAGGTTCCTGGTGTGCACAATATGCAAATGTTTTAGTGATGCTCCCTGAAAACTCACCAGAGTGGACCATATAGAGAAAAAAAAAAAGACCAGATGACAATGAAAGAACTGCCAAGTGATGAGCTAAGCTGGTGCAAAGGAATGACGGGGAGGGAGGGCATATGATATATTTAAAGAGCCAAGAAAAGGACAATCTCCAGAACCTGGCTCAGAACTGCTAATAAAAAAGCAGCACTGTCAGCCCAGTATGAGTTGGAGGCATGTAGGGGGTGTTGGCAGGGGAAGGCCATGAGCACCAGCCTCAAAGGATCAGAGGCACACAGTGAGATCTAAGCAAACAACAGCCAGGGCCTCGGTCAACAGCACAGATACACAGCTCTGGGGAGCACCAGCCATAACACTGCCTGGTACTAACTGTGGCTTGATCTTCAAAGGCAGAACATGAAGAAAGATGGAGAAGTACTGTCTTTTAGGGGAAGTCAGGAAAGAATCTCAAACCTTTTCTTTTTCTGTAGTCATGAGAGAACTAATCTAGTGCAAAATGTATTTTTCCAAGTGCTAGATTTAAGGGAGTAACAAACTTTTGGCATGAAATATTGATAGAACGTTCACTGTGTATATTAACATACTTTTTCAATGGTCATTTAATAGAATAATATAGATTTTCGAAGAGGTAGATTCAAAGTCTGCAAAAAAAAAAAAAAGAATTTAAGCAAGGAAATGAAATTACTATCTTAAGTAGTAACACTCATGTTTGCTTGGGTGCTGAGACCACTTCAGCAAACATGAGAAGCTCAGTTTTAGAGAGTGTCTGGGCCACTGACAATAGGAGCAGCAGCCCTTCACCTCTCCCTGGCCCCAAAGTCATCCGACATGTCAGTATGCCATCCTCGCGGTGAACATCGGTGCCCAAAGACATCCAGCTCTATCTGATGAGCTCTGACTCAGTGGTGCAGGAGATGTAGAAGCCAATTAAGAAATATAAAAGGGTCATGCTTCAGCTTGGACATGTTACTTACTAAAAAAAAAATTCTATTTAGGATCATACAGGGTACTGTGAAATCCAGTAAATCTGGGTACCTGCTGGTGGTGTGACTTTGCATATATTACTTAACTTCTCTGATTCTAAGTCTCTCCACCTATAAAACAGATGAGATCAACTTTGCAGAAATTTTGTGAAGACAAGACATAATATACGTAAAAGTGTCTGATGAAACATGTCCTTAATAAAAACCTATTGCTATTGATAACCACAATAATCAATAAGATACTCCTATGTATTTCCACATCATTATAGAGGCTTAATGGGAAAGGTTTTAATTAAAGGCAATATAAGATAAAGGTCCCTAAAGTGACTTCCTTTTTGAGTCTGTCTACACCAGCGCACATTCATTTTCTCCCTCTTTGAAACCCCTAATGGTTAGATGGGCAAGAACTCCTCCCTCATGGTCTCAAAAGGCTCTCTCAAGCTACCAGGGTTTCCTTGCATCAGGAAGAAGTGTATCTGAGGGACGCCTGGAGCGGGGGGGGGCTCAGCGGTTTAGCGGTTTAGCGTCTGCCTTCGGCCCAGGGCGTGATCCTGGGGTCCCAGGATCCAGTTCCACATTGGGCTCCCCACAGGGAGTCTGCTTCTCTCCCTGCCTGTGTCTCTGCCTCTGCCTCTGTGTCTCTCGTGAAGAAATAAAGAAATCTTTTTTTAAAAAAATATGTGTAGTATGACTTTTTCCCTCAACAGCAGTATTTGCATTTTAAGAGGGAGTTATCCTAAAAAAAGACAATGCAAAGAAAATTCTCTTAAAGTCTAAGAAATGTAAATGTTAATTGCTATAAACCTGCTGATACAATGCCTTTCTATGCTGGTTGTAGAATACTTGGCACCAGTGACAATACATGGGAGAGAAGCCCTTCCTCAAGACCCACTCCAAACAAACTGTACACTCACTTGTACTCCAGGTGAGTCTGGTTTCAAGTAAGAGATCTGCTTACAGCCACCCAAGCGCATGGTAATTGCTGTGCACGGATGGTTCTGTGTGCCTAAGTATGAACTTCAAGTTGATAAATAGCCCTGTTAGGATCTCAACAACACGTAGGGTTCATCTACCAAACTGGAACACACACCTGGCTTGCTTCTGGTGCGAACTGGTAACGCAAGCGGGAGCCCCTGTGCTAACACATCCAGGGGAGAGACCCGGGTGAGCTCACCTTTCTTCGGCCTGGATGTCACTGGCAGGGACTCCTTTTTTTCCATTGCTACTTCTCTTTCTTTCCACCGGCGGATCTGTTCCTCCCTCATCTTGAAGAACAGGATCTGTTTCTGTTCTTCGCTGAGCTCTGCCAGCAGATCGGGATCTATGTACATTTCGGATAGTATCTGCTTCAGCATCTCTGCAGGTCGGGAGTCTTTTACACCTGTGGCAGAAGTTCTTGAAAATGCCCTCCAGGTGGCCTCCCCTGGGCTGGCACCCAGGGCACCCGCACACCTTCCCAGACTCTCAGCAATCCTAGTGACCCAGACGGTGACTCGGAGAGCTGGCCCCTGGCTCCTGGAACCACGGATACCGTCCACAAGGCTGTTCAGGAACCTGCAGAGAGCAATAGGAAAAAGCAGGCAGTGTTCAAATGTGCAGACGCCAGGCAGGGGTAGGCTCATGAATCAAGCTTGGAGGAAATACAGTATCACTTTTCATTTCAGGTGAAAGGAGAAGAAAAGCCGAGGCATGCTTTGTTAAGAGTTTGTGTAACTTGTATCCCGTAATTTCCAGATAGTATACCAAAAAAACAAAACAGATCCTAACTTTTTACAGGTCAGTCTCAGGGAAACAAAAAAAATTAACAGAGGTTTGGCCTTCTCCCAACTAAGCAAACATATTATTACCTCAGAGCCTAAGCACCAACTGGATGGCTGAGAAAAGAATAAAAGAAAAAAAAAAGGCACAGGAAGAAATTAAAAGATTTTCTCCAAACAACTTATTTCAAAAGAAAATACTGTCTTTGAGATTTCACAGAATTACGTACCCCAAACCAAACCAAAACCGGGCCATGTTCAAGGAAGGAAAAAGAAGAAATAAAAGTCAGACAAGGCAATCTCCAGACAGCCCACCTGAACCATGAAAACAGTGTAGGAGCAGGAGAAAACATCCCTGTATATTCTTGAAGGTCACCAGGTTTTAAGTTTATCTGTCCCATATATCTAATTTACTAAAATCTGAATTTACGGACCAGAAAAACTGGGAGAACAAAGAGGTAACTAGGTTCATAATAAAGGCTCCTGATTTACTAAAGAGTTTCTTAGAGGCTCCTTTGGTAAGAAGCCACAGGCTCCAGCACTCACAAGTGCACTCACAGTGGTTGGGGGTGGGGATGGACGATTCCATTGAGGTTTCATGTAACTTAGTCATTTCTACTTAGTTGATTTTTTTAAAACTTTTAATTTTTTTCGATATAATAAGATACACAAAAAAGTTTACTTACTGCGACTTTTCAGGATCACCGGTGTTAAAGAAGTTGACTGGGAATTGGGGCTCACAATGCCTCAGATAATCTCACCATCTAGCCATGCCTCTCAAATACCTCCTCTGGCCAACTAAGTGCAAATGCTCACAAGCTTCAGACTATCACTTAGTCATAACCCCCGGCTCCTCCGCTCCTCTTCGGCCCTTCACCTTGTCATCCCCACAGACTCCCTGGGAGCTCCCCTGCAGCTTCCCTTCTCCTTCTTCTTCCCTGCAAAGCTGTTCCTTCATTTACACAAGCATGTTCAACAGATGGGGAACCCCAGGATGTTTGCATACACAGCACATACTTAAATCCACTACCTATTCATTGTGTAGCTGGGACCTTTATTGAGGCTGGAACTATTCTTGCTAACTGCATCCTATAATCTCCTGCAGCTTTCAAACTACTGGAACTCAAATGGAACACAACATAAGAAAACTTTTAGGGGAGCCTGAGTGTCTCAGGCAGTTGAGTGCCCGACTCTTGGTTTCTACTCAGGTCATGATCTCAGGGTCATGCACTCAAGGTGGAGCCTACTTAGGATCCTCTCTCTCCCTCTGCCCCTGGCCCCCACCTAAATTTTTTTTAAGGGAAAAAATTTAAAAACAAATAAAAGCAGTGTTTGACTCTAATTTGGTCTGCTGTGTCCCTCCAAAGTTCCCTTGCTTTGAAAGATGACCCTCAAAGTCTGTCACAAAGAATTGATATTCTGTAATTTTTTTTTTTACTTTTGGGTTCCAACAAGCTCCTGGAGGGGCAGGGCCAAAAAAATCCACACTAAAGGAGAATTTGCCAGAGGCTGAGCTCTGTCTTCCTAGGAACAACAGGAAGAGTCTGGCTCCCCAGCACACTTGACTCCAGGGCTCTGAGACCAAGTGGTAAAAAACAAGAGTACTCCTTGATGTTCCAATAGGTGTCTTACATTGGCACATCCCATGACTGATGATTGCCTTTCACAGAAATAAAACATGGTAGAAAAGGAAGAACCCAGCGAGGCCTGAGGTTCTGTTTTGTTCCCTATTTTGAATGGGGTGAATCTTAGCAACAGGGATAGCATGGCCTAAAACCTGGAACCCTGAAAGGGCCAAATTCACATTGTTCCCCTCTCCCCTGCCCACAGTACTCCCAGCGACAAGAGCTTGCACGCACTGTGCCAGCCACTACCTCAAGCACCTTGAATGTATTAACTTATTATATTTTCACAGTTACCCTGGGGATCCCTCCTGCCCTTTCACAGATGAAGAAGATGGTGAGTGGCAGAACTGGGCAGTCTGACTCTAAGTTGGCTCTACTGTCCTCCAGTAGCACAACTGTTTATAGTTTCTCTATAAGCTCAGAATCAGCACATCATCAGGATATGGTACCATGTATGAAATTTCAGAATGAAGAACAGTAGGATCTTACAGCAATGTAAATGCTGACTTGAAGGTGCGTGACACACAATGCCTCTGAGGGGCAGAAGCCTCATCTAGGTAACTGTAGATAAGCTGAGGGGAGGTCAGGTATGAAAAAGACCTCCCCCAAGGAAGGAAGCAGGGAAATGTTACAGTGGCCCATGTGTGCATGTTTGTCGACTTGATTCACAGGTACTTCGTGTTCTCAGTTTCCCCTCTCACAGCCATCAGGAGTTGCACAAATGGTACAGCCTCTCACAGGTGTGAAGAGTTCCATGAGACACTCATGCTCTTTCACAGTTTTAATTTGAGTTTGTTTTGCCTTTTCTGGCAAACATGGATTTTTAGCATTAAACTTAACCACTGGATCTCGAAGGAAAGACACTGGCTTCCCCGTGTCCTCAGTGGATACTTGGGGACTCAGCTAGCACTTGCCTTGGAGTCAGGCAGATGAATAATATGCATGCCATTCTAAGGCTGTGAATTAACTCCTTCCTCCCTTACACTTTCAGATGGAAAAGTCAGCACAGGGTGATCACAGAACACCTAGCAAGGACCCCAGCATGAGCTTCTGAAGAGCTGTATGCCCTTCAGCTGTTATTTCACTACTTTGTTTTCCCATTCGTGAAATGAGGAGCTGCACCATACATCTTTGTAATTTGAAGACTATGTCATAGGTCTATGTGAAGTTACAGACACAAGTGGAGGTAGGGTAGAGGAAACAGGAATGAGGAAACTAACCAGGGTTTTTCCCACTTTCAGTCCCTGAAAGGACAACCACTGACACTGATTCAAACTTTGAATGACTTTCCTCATCTAACACACTTGAGAGCAGCAAACTTCCAGTTATTCAAGATCCAATAAAAAGAAGAGCTAAGCTAACTCAGTTTTCTTCTTAAATAGCACTTTACTTAAAAAAAGGAAATGACAAGCAACAAGCCCAAATCTGCTATTTATTCCAAAACTAAATTTCTAAAGGGTGATAGGATCAGTTGTTTTCCAGGATAACATACATTTGGCCTGACTCTCACATCATCCATAGCCCTGTTCGACAAAATAAAAATTGTGTTTCTAATGATTCTAAGACCTTGGCAGGTAGATAAAGCCTAAATTATGGCAGTAATGTAATATGGACAGTAAAACTTTAATGGTGAGAATATAATTTAGAGCACCTGTGTGGTTCAGTCAGTTAAACATCCCATTCTTGGTTTGGCTCAAGTCAGGATCTCAGGGTAGTGGGATTGAGTCCTGCCTTTGGCTTGGCACTGACCATGGAGTCTGTCCCTCTTCCCCTTTTCCTCCCCCTACTGCCTCTCTCGCTCTCCAATAAATAAATAAATAAATAAATAAATAAATAAATAAATAAATAAAATCTTTTAAGAAAATGAATATAGTTTGAATTGTACTTCTTTTAAAACGGTCGGCTATTTTCAGATTTTCATTTATCTTATTCAACTTCACCTAATAGAGTTTATCTGCAAAAGGGCTATTTTTTTTCTAAAGATTTTATTTGTTTATTCATGAGAGACAGAGAGAGAGAGAGAGAGAGAGAGAGGCAGAGGGAGAAGCAGGCTTCCTGTGGGGAGCCGGATGAGGGACTCATCGGGGATCAGGACCTAAGTCCAAGGCAGACTCAACCACTGAGCCACCCAGGTGCCCCAAAAGGGCTATTTTTGAGGATAAAATGATTTACCAGAGGTGATAGCAATTTGGTAAGTTTTGTACATATGTGCCATTCTTCAGAAATGTGAAACTACTGTACAGATTTATCTAGGAAATTGCACTCATGGGCCAAATCTACGCCTGCATATGACTTCCACGTGCTTATTCGCTTTCTAAAGCTCCAAGTCGTTCGCATTGAGCAGGCGATCCAAAGCCTCTCAGACCGGTGCCGGGCTGGCTCTGCGGGCGGAGCATGCGCAATCTTGATTTCCCTGTTCTGAGTTCGAGCGGGTGATAGTGTTTACTTAAACAAACAAACAAAAAACCCTTTTAGGAGGTTGGAGACTAAGATCAGAGAGCGGTGCCCTTGCTCCTGCGCCCTGAGTCCTGGAAAGGGAACGATACCTTCACGGAAGCCTACAAACTGGCACCTGCGCGCCCGGCTCTCGGTGCCCCCGCGAACCCGGGGGCCGGAGCGGGCAGGGGCGGGGCGGGGCGGGGCGGGGGCGCGGGCGGCAGGGCGCCCACCCGACTGGGAAGACCGAGGCTGGGCTGCCCTCCTGCGGGCGGGGCCCGGGAGCCGGCTGCCCGGCGGTCCTGGAAGGTCTGGGCGGCGGAGTTCCGCGCGGCCTCCCCACGCGGGCGCGGGCGCGGGCCGGCGGGGGCGGGCGCGCGCTGCGGGGCCGCGGAGGAGGCCCGGACCCACGGCAGGCACACGGCCCCGCGGGTGCTCCGGCGCTCCCGGCTCGCCCACCCCCGCCGGCCGCCTCGGCTTGGTGACGCGCCCGCCCCCCTCCCGGTGCCCCAGAAGTGCTCGCCTTCCCCCTGGGGCCCGCGCTCCGCGCACCGCGCACCGTGGCCGCGGGCCCGGGGCCCCCCAGCGCCTCCCGCGCCCTCCCGAGCCCCCACCCGCACGGTCCCGCGTTCTGCCCCCTGGCCCCGCCGCCCCCTGCACCTACCGGGCGGGGCCCCGCGCTCCCCAGCAGGTGGCCCCGGGCAACGCGGCGTCCAGCGGGGCCGCCAGAAGCTGTCGGAGACGGAGGGAAGGCGGCTCAAACCCTCGGCCTCGCTATGTGCAAACAGTGTCCCTGCGCCCCCGCCCGCCCGCGCTGCCCCACCCGCGGCCCGCGTGCCCCGGCGGCTGACTGGGTGCTCGCGGCCCCACCCGGGCCCCTGGACGCGCTCCAGGCCCAGACGTCGGCGCGGCCTGCTGCCCCAGGGGACCCCCACCCCGGGCACCCGGCCCGGAGCTGCCCGTGTGGGGGCCAGGCCGCCGCCCTCCACCTGCAGCCCGCCGAGGCCGCCGCGCCCTCTCGGCCGCGGAACGGAGTGGGGTCCGCGGCCCGGCCTGCTCCGCCCCGGAGCTCAAGGTCTCCTGCGAGCCCGGGCCTGCGGCGGCGGGAGGCCTTCTCGGTCACAGTGACAGTCCCAGCAGGCCAAGTCAGCTCCCCTCCCGGGTGGGCTCCTGACTCCCGGAGCTTACTTTACCCGCCCCGCCCCCTTTTGTTGACATTAAAGTCATTTATCAGACACTCTGGCACTTGTCAGTACAGGCCACAAAGCTTTGTAGGGCAGAATCAAGGAGGCGAAAGGCTGGAAAGATGGAGCCTGCAAACAACAGACACGGAGGGGAAAATGAAAGAAATCTGGAGAAGGGAAAGAAGGCAAAGGAATCTGTGAATAGCAGCAAGAACAGGTTGGGGTGGTGCCGGAAGGGAGGAGCTGACGGAGTACAGGAAAGTTGGGCAGAAGCGAGTAGAAACGTGGCAGGGCATTTTCCATTGTGCAGGAGCGTTGGGAATGTGCGCAGAGAAATAGCCTGCTCTGGGGAACCCCACCCTGCACATGCTGGGGAGGAGTCCAGAACACTGAGCCTTCTCCGGTCCCTCCGGTCCTCTCCACAGCCCACCTGACACATTCAGGGGGCTGATTAGCTTCCTTCAAAAGTGAAACTTTCTTCTTCCTAACTTCTCTAGACCTCAGAAGTTACTCAAAGTTACTCAGAGGAAGAGCCTTGGGGGCAGAGAGAAGTCCTTGAGAACCTATTTAGGAACCATTCCAGGGATCGCATCAGGGGAGAATTTCTGGTTTACTTTTGGTTCCCACTGCTTATTAAATGAATGGCCTGTGACTGCATTTGGCTGGATTGTCTCTTGCCCCTGGGTAGCGGCCGTGGCCAGCTGAAAATGAATCCTCACATTTCATGGATCCAGCAGTTGAAGAACCAACAGGTGGTTCATCAGTCAGTAAAATTTTCCTACAACGGACACTGGTTGCAGCGGATGACCTTCCCCCACACTCAAGTTCATGTGCTGATAAAGTCTTTCTTTTTTTTTTAATAAATTAATTTTTATTGGTGTTCAATTTACCAACATACAGAATAACACCCAGTGCTCATCCCGTCAAGTGTCCCCTCAGTGCCCGTCACCCATTCACCCTGATAAAGTCTTTCTTTATAAGAGTACTCCCACTTGGCTACTAACCTGTCTGTACTTCGGTTTTCCCTTCTGGATAATAACAACGCCTACCCCATGAAGTTGTTGTGAAGGTTAAATGAGATAATATATGTAATGTGCTTAGAATAGTTCGTGAACTGGTGGATGTACAAATACATTAGCTTATATTATTTCACATCACATACTGCAGTTTCAAGTTATAACTTCATACTCAGACCTTGGATTTTGCCTTGTGTGGTACCTAGACTCCATGTTAACCTCAGTGATCCATCCCCACCTCCTCAGTATGTCACTTCTGAGATTAGGTTATAAAAGACGTGAGCACATGCCTGGCTGGGCATCCAGCACTGGTCTTTGAGGCACGACTGTGAGAACACCAGCCTCAAACTTGTGGTGCACGTTCTGGCCCACCAGCAGCCTGGGTGACTGCTAGGTGTTCTCCACGCAAGCAGTGGGCAGAGCCGCTAACCCTGTGAACAAGATGGGAGATGCTGAAGCAGGCAAGAAGATCTTTATTTAAAAATGTGGGGGCACCTGGGTGGCTCAGTCGGTTAAATGTGCGCCTTCCACTCAGTGGTGATCAGGGTTCTGGGATCCAGCCCCACATGGAGCTCCCTGCTCAGTGAGGAGTCTGCTTCTCTCTCTCTCTCTGCCTGCCGCTCCCTCTGCTTGTGCTCTCTTTCTCTCAAATAAATAAATAAAATCTTCTTTAAAAAAAAAAATGTACTCAGTGCCACACAGTGGAAGAAAGTGGAAAACACAAGACTGGTCCAAATCCCTGGGCCTTTTGAGATGAAAAACAGGACAAGCACTAGGATTTTCTTATTCCAGTGCTAGCAAAAACAAAGGGGTTATCTGTGGAGAGGAAACTCTGATGGAATATTTGGAGAACCCAAAGAAACATATGCCTGGTCTTTGCTGGTCTTAAAAAGAGGAGTGAAAGAGAAGATCCTACTCCATATTTGAAACAGACAACATCTTCATAAAATGTTCTTGCAACTTAAAAAATATTAGTTCTAAGTCAAAACTTTCTAATTTCAAATATTGCATGTTTAAAGAAGTCATTTTTGATCTTACTTGATCAGCCTGTAATAAGTTTAACATTTAAAAATAAAAGTTGAAATTAACAAAATAAATAAAAATAATTTTTTTAAAAAAGCCTTGTAGCTTGTCTTGGTTTCTCTCTCTCTCTCTCTCTCTCTCTCTCTCTTTCTCTCATTCTCTCTCACCTTTCACTCTAAAGGAAGTCAACTGCTCCATCATGAGCAAACCTTTGGGGAGGAATTGAGGACTCCTGCCAACAGCCACAGAATCAATTTGGAAGTGAATCCTCCAGCCCTAGTCAAGCCTTTGGATGGCTGCAGCATTGGCTTATAGCTTCGGTGCAAATTCATGCAACCACCTAATTAAGCCACTCTCCAATTCCTTTTTTTTTTAATTTTTTTTTATTTATTTATGATAGTCACAGAGAGAGAGAGAGAGAGAGAGAGAGAGAGAGAGAGGCAGAGACACAGGCAGAGGGAGAAGCAGGCTCCATGCACCGGGAGCCTGATGTGGGATTCGATCCCGGGTCTCCAGAATTGCGCCCTGGGCCAAAGGCAGGCGCCAAACCGCTGCGCCACCCAGGGATCCTGCCACTCTCCAATTCCTAATCAACAACACTGAGGTACTAAATTTGTGTTATATGAAGCTACTAAGTTTGAGGAAATTTGTTACATGGCAATGCATAACTAATATATACCTCCTCATTAGTCTTGTTTTTAAGCCAGTTTTAGATAGCTTTTGTGTACAGAAAATTTCATATACTGGATAACTTCTGTAAATGCAGATCCAAGGACCTCACCTCAGAGCTAGGGAATATAATGTCTGTGAGGCCCAGGCAGTAAGCACTCCAAGTGATTAGATCAAAGATGGGGTTACAGATCATGCTTTCAGAAACTCTGCTCCAGACTCTCCTTTTTTTTTTTTTTGTTTTTAATTTTTATTTATTTATGATAGTCACAGAGAGAGAGAGAGAGAGAGGCAGAGACATAGGCAGAGGGAGAAGCAGGCTCCATGCACCGGAAGCCCGATGTGGGATTCGATCCCGGGTCTCCAGGATCGCGCCCTGGGCCAAAGGCAGGCGCTAAACCGCTGCGCCACCCAGGGATCTCCCTGCTCCAGACTCTCCTG